GAGTTAGTATTTATGAGAATGCTAATTCGAGTCCAATGTTAATTGTTTAAAAAAAAAAAAATACGGATCGGATTGTTTCAGATGTTGCTCGTCCTCACCAGAAAGACTGTTTGTTGTCTTCGAGGGATCCAGTCCTATGAGAATTCCAGTTGGGGTGATTTATTTGGCAACACCATGTTGGTCGTGGCCCTCTTGTTATCCTGGTGGCTATTGGAACCTCGTACTCTTAGACCATTCTCTATTGGATTTGTTGTAGGTCATAGATTCTTTTGATGTTTCAAGCTTCTCCACTAGACGATGGGGCTCGATGAAATGACTGCATATCTCTTGGCTACTCCCTATGGACAATAGTTGTTCTTGTGTGTGGTCGTTGTGGCGCCTCGAGTTTGAGGTTTCGTCTTACCCGATTTGCTTGATTTGCCTTTGGTTTCTTGCGATAATGTAGCTTTAGATATGGTCGTGCTTCCAGTGGAGGGTCTCTTACTATATTTGTGGGTTTTACATCTCCGTATTTCTAGTGTTGATGGTTGATGTTTAGCCCAATTATTGTTTGTGTCTCCTTGTTGATGTTGTCGTGTTGACGTCGTTGCTTGGCTTCGTTGAATGGTTTTGGTTGCCTTAGCTTAGTGCGGAAGAGGAGTAGTAAGACCATTGATGATCGGTGTTGCTTCTAGTTTCTATAACTAGCTCTGTAGTAACCGACTTCGAGGTGAACTTGGTAGGGTGAATTTGCACCGGAGAACACGTATCTTAACTTAGTGATCGGAAATAATTAGGTAGGGGTAAGGAAATACAAGTAAAACACTAAGTTTTACCGATCGCAAGCTACCCCTTGCTACTCGCGGACTGATCTGATACGCTAAAACTCCTTACGGTTCGATCAATGGATAATTTTAACGGAGTTTGGGTGTAAAGGGGCAGAAAATGGTCAAGAAATTATGTCTAAGGCTCGCTATTTATAGTCTGTGGGAAGGTTTTGTTCGAGCGTGGATTTTGACAAATATCGACGGAATCTGCCAAGTGTTGGCGAGTCTCAGACACGTGCCCATAATCTTCGACACGCGCCTGGCACGTGGTCCACTTCGTACCTGGTGAGGTAACGAAACCTTTGTCCATTCCTTTTCCCTGGTTCCACCCTTGGTCGTTTTATTGGTTTGTGAGGTTTCTTCTTGGTGTTAGCTCATGGATTTGTGTTCAAGACGCTCTCACATTTGCGAGAGGAGTTTGTGATCGAGGTCTTTGAAGATGTAACCGTTGACGACACATTTTTTGGACCTCCTTTGAAATGCTTCTTCTACTTTCGGTTCTGGTCTCAACGGCTTTTACGATTTGCTGTCGCAACTGCATTTCTCCGACAGATTCTAGAAGAATATTCAACATCGTCATCATTTCTTGTTCTCTATTAGCTTTCAGACTTATGTCGAAAGGACATACTAAAAATC